TTGAACTGAGGTGTTTTTATCTGTGAGCGTGTGTGATGTCTCTTTATGTGTGTGTTTGTATGTGCATACACAAGCAGGAATCAGGAGTCAGGGTTAGGTGTTTTACCCAGTGACTTTCCACTTCTATTACACTTTTATTTAGAGATAGGGGGCTCTTCCCAACCTGAAGCTTATCAATTCATTTAGGCTGGCTGGCCAAGGAGCTACAGGGGGGATTCTGCCTGTCTCTGCCCCCTGTATGGTGGTTAAAAACATAATCCCACCCTACCTGGCTTTTACATAGTCTGTAGGATCTGAACTCCTTATATTTTGTACAGCAAATAGTTTAACAAATGAGTCATCTCTGTATTCTTTTTGTAATCTCAATGGCTGCTGTATGTGTCCTGTGTCTTTGAAAAAAAATGTCCGATGTAGTTGGCATGAATACAAGTATCTTGGGAGTAGAAAGAAAGCTTCCTGTGAACCCACTCGGGACCCTGAAGGGGCTTTTGGTTGAACTTTTAAGGTACAGTTTGTGGAGTTTTAAATTTTTTTAAAGTCAGGATATGTTTACATAAGTGTTTTAAGAATACATGTTGGGGAAGTGGGGTGTGTTTGTACTGAAGAAACAATAATGGAAATACCACACAGGCATGGAGAATCCATTGATGCTTGAGGGTTTGGGATATTTTAACATCTAGTTCTTGAGCCAAAATGGTTGCCAAACAAAAAGTATGTTCTCAATATATATCAGCTGAGGGAAATTTTTGTTAGTAGATAAAGGAAAACTTGGACCAAAGTGGAACATTCAGTCTTTTTTTTTTCTTTTTTTAGCAAGATTGGTTTCATAATGTAAGGAAAGGAAAGGTCCCAAGAAGATGAGATCTCAGAAAAAGATGTTGTTAACTTTGTCCAGAATTATAATTTATTCTGAAACTGTGGTGTCATTGTTGAAAGTAAAAAGGGCAAGAGTGATTCTTTTGTAAAGAGAATCAGTCCATATGGAGTCAACAAATAAATGGATAATGAAAAATTGGTGTATATATATATATATATATATATATATATATATATATATATATATAACATACATTAGAATAGTCTTCAGCTTTAAAGAAAGATTAAATCACAAAGTTTGTAGGAAGTGGAAGGACATGATTATATAATTAAAGGCTATCCCCAAGAGAAAAATAACTTACATATTCTCCATCATCCATGGATTTCAGCCTATAATGTATGCATGCGTATATATAAACAAATATATGTATGGCCACAGTGAAGCACTTAGGAAGAAAAACTAGGAAGGGTTGTATTAGTTGACGAGGAAGAATAGAATGCAAATCAAGGACACATGATCCATGAAAGAGGCTATAAACCTAATTGTTTCTCTAGTTTCAACTCTGACATGGTTTGTTATGATGGATAAATGCACAGAGATGTCATCGCTACTGAAGCCATGAAGCACCAGTTGAAGCACCATGGCCTCAGAATGGCTCTTCCAACTGTAGACAAGGTCACTGAAATGTGTAGAGTTTGGAGCTGGGTGAGTGTTTGCTTGTGTGAGTGTGTACTTTATTCTAGCTGCATGATGCTTTTATATGTGACACATACAAGTAATTTTTTAATACTTAAAATAGATTTGACAAAATTCTGTGGTAGTTTAGATGAAAGAGAATGGAGTTCTTAAGGTGGCCACTGGGTTTGGATGGCTCTGAGGGTGGAGAAGGTACCTTAAGGAGGAAGGGCTTAAGAGCTCATCTGTTTCCTTCAAGCATTGATGAGGTCATGAGGGAAGTTACTACTTTCAGGAAGTCTTAGTTTGAGAATCATCTGTGTAAGAAAAGGTCACTAGTTTCCAAATATGAAAAAAAAAAAACAATAAACAAAAAACCAAACTGCTGTTAAAGGGCATTTGAATGCGTGATACAAGAAAAGAAAAAGGCCATTTAAAAAAATCACACTGACAGCGAACAGATTATGTAAAAATTCCGACAGCTCATGAAGCAGCTTTTCCTCCTGCTCGACTTTGTAACATCCACAACAGTGTATGTTAATTAGAACATTTGAAACACATGGCAATTGAGTAACTATTCTGAGCTGCTTCTTTTCCAACAGAAGGCATTCTAGGATTGTCAATAAGTAAGACTTTAATTTGAGCAGGGAATAGGAGTGTAGCATTGGAAACAAGTTTCTGTCTAGTCTAAGCAAAGCCTGACTCCCACCCCCACCCCATGTCAATCAAACCTAAGGAACAATCAAACCTAAAGAGCAAGCCTTTGTCCTCAGAAGGTAGTGGGTTGGGGTGGAAATGGCATACATGGGAGATTCACAGGTTCAGACTTAAAGTCTATGGGGAGGAAATTTCTGCCTACCTCTTATTCTGCTTCTTTGTCAAACATAGGAACAGTAACTGTAATGGAGGTTTTGGTTCATGATTTGTAAATATGTTTTTGTTTTAATCCATGTGTGCTCTGTAAGGGAGAGGGGCGCTTTGCCAGTTGCAGATAGTTTAAATCTGAGGACTCTCAGAGGGAGTAAGGGCCAGGGCTCAAGAGAGTGTTAAGAGGGCGCAGAGAAAGAAGAGGCTGCAATGTCCACCCCTGCTATCTCCTGGTTGCTCTTTATACAGTTGGATGAGAAGTTGGAGATATCCTGAAACAATGACGGAACTTGCCCCAAGAAACCAGCCACAGGAAGTAGTTAAGAAAACTACTTCCCTTCTCCCCACTAACCTTTTTTCCCTCCTACCTGGTATTAGGACATTGGAAGGCATTGGGGTGGAGAAGATAGAAAGAGGATTAAGAAACATAAATAAAATAGAGTTAAAAAGTAGTGCCAGAAAAACGCAAATAGACCCATATTTATCACCCTACACAAAACCAAAATCCAAGTGGATCAAAGACCTCAATATAAAAATGGACACACTAAACTTGTTAGAAGACAAAGTAGGGAAGAGCCTAGAACTCATTGGCACAGGAGACAACTTTCTGAACAGAACACCATCAGCACAGGCTCTAATATCAACAATCAATAAATGGGACCTAATGAAACTGAAAAGCTTCTGTAAAGCAAAAGACACTGTCATCAGAACAAAATGACAGCCTACAGATTGGGAAAGGATCTACCAATCCTATATCTGACAGAGGGCTAATATCCAGGAAATATAAAGAACTTAAGAAGTTAAACAGCAACAAATCAAGTAACCCAATTAAAAAATGGAGCACAGAGCTAAACAGAATTATCAATAGAGGAACATCAAGTGGCAGAGAAACACTTAAAGAAATGCTCAACATCCTTAGTCATCAGGGAAATGCAAATCAAAACGACCCTGAGATATCACCTTACACCCATCAGAATGGCTAAAATAAAAAACTCAAGTTACAACACATGCTGGAGAGGATGTGGAGAAAGAGGAACCCTCCTCCATCACTGGTGGGAATGTAAACTTGTACAACCACTTTGAAAATCAATCTGGTGCTTTCTCACACTATTAGGAATAGTGCTACCTCAAGATCCAGCTATACCACTCCTAGGCATATATCCAAAAGATGCTCAAGTACACAACAAGGACATTTGCTCAACCATGTTCATAGCAGCTTTATTTTTAATAGCCAGAACCTGGAAACAACCCAGATGTCCCTCAGTTGAGGAATGGATATAGAAATTGTGGCACATGTACACAATGGAATACTACTCAACATTAAAAAACAAGGAAGTGAAATTTGCAGGCAAATAGTGGGATCTAGAAATGATCATCCTGAGTGAGGTATCCCAGAAGCAGAAAGACACACATGGTATATACTCATTTAAAAGTGGATATTAGACATATAATATAGGGTAATTATACTAAAATCTGCACACCTAATGAAGCTAATCAAGAAGGAGGACCCTGGTAAGATGCTCAGTCTTCATTCAGAAAGGCAAACGAGATGGATATTAGAAGAGGGAGAGAACAGGGAACAGGACAGGAGCCTATCACAGAGGGCATCTGTAATACTCTCCCCAGCAGGGTATCAAAACAGATGCTGAGATTCATAGCCAAACTCTTTGCAGAGTGCAGGGAATCTTATGAAAGAAGGGGGAGATAGAAAGACCTGGAGGGAACAGGAGCTCCACAAGGTGAGCAACAGAACCAAAAAATTTGGGCACAGGGATTTTTTTCTGAGGCTGATACTTCAAACAAGGACCATGTATGGAGATAACTTAGAACCCCTGCGCAGAAGTAGCCCATGTCCAAGAGGGTTTACCAATAATAGGAATGGGGACTGTCTCTGTCATGAACTCATGGGCTGGCTCTTTGATCACCTACACCTGAGGGGGGAGCAGCCTTACCAGTCCACAGAGGAAGACAATAAAGCCAGTCCTGATGAGACCTGATAGATTAGGGTCAGATGGAAGGGGAGGAGGACCTCCCCTATCATTGGACCATGGGAGGGGCATAGGAGAAGAAGAGGGAGGGAGGGTGGTATTGGGAGGGGCTGGGAGAGGGGGCTACAGCTGGGATACAAAGTGAATAAACTGTAATTAATAAAAAGAAAAGAAAAAAGCAGCGCTGGCAAATAACTATCTTGAAGAATATAGAACTAAATAAGATATAAAAGAACATTACCCCTGGTACTATGCATGTAATAAGGGCATCAACAAAGAAATGCATGTATGTATCAATGAAGGGAGACTGCTTTGTAACCTCACAAACACAACTTCTTTCTATTTTCCAGATTGGCTTCAATGTGACAATTGCATGGCATAAGAATTTTTCCTTTGAGAGATGGGGTTATAAATGATAATTAATATCATAATAACTACCAGAAAATTTTCAAGAATTTTTAAGAGCTTGACACAGAATGTATGGTGATTGTATCTGTGAAGTTTTAGGAAAGACCAGGAAACAAATATGTCCTTGCAAAAAATTATAAGTGTGCAGATCTGCAGATCATAATACCAAAAACCCAGAACGAACGGAATCATTCGTGCTTTTTATTAGTTGCAATGACCATTCATTTTCTGTTCCTGTACAACAGTGAGAAAAAGCTCATTACGGATGCTCTCAATAAGAACCAGTTTCTGAAGAGATTGGATGCCCAGCAGATCAAAGACATGGTAGAGTGCATGTACGGGAGAAATTATCAACAGGGCAGTTATATCATTAAGCAAGGGGAACCAGGAAACCACATCTTTGTGCTGGCAGGTGAGTTTCACAGATTTTATCTGGAGGGGGAGTTCGCATATGGAATGGTTTTATTTTTGCCTTTTTGCAAACATTCATAAAACAAAGCCAACTCGCCCTATTTGTAGAAAACAAACAGACTGACTTTGTGCATTAACTAAGGATGTTGGTGCTGTGATGTGCCTGGCTAATGTATAAGGCATGTGTAGGGTGTGCCTTGTCTCCCACTGATAGAGAGCTCTTGCTAGAGAGCTCCCGTTTCATCTCTCACCTATGCTAGAAGAGCAAGCACAGCTACTGCAATGTCCTCCAGAGGTTAAATCACACACCCACTGCTAAATGACTGCTCTGCGGTGGTAAGCGTGTAGGGTATAGACAGGATGTCCCATTCAGAGCCCCACACTTTTAGTCACAGGGCTGCTTACTGGAAGGTTTTTGTTCAAAGTGTCGCAGTTCATGTTGACACTTTAGACAAGGGTACCAAGGGGAATTTATTGTTGTGGTGTTGGAAATCACTTTGATTTTAGCCCAATAACTTAAAAGGATAACTTAGGTTTCTTTGTAATAAACAAATCAAATCAAATGCCGCACCGATTAAACTGCTGTTTTTAGAGCCATTACAGTTTCCATTGTTTATGGTCACTTGAACACACATGCTTGGGAGATAGTAACAGAGCCACTAGGAATTTTTAAGTGGGTGCTAATTTTTAAATATAAAGAAGCAAGAAATTGCTTGGATAGGGATTGGGGTTATTGAATGTCCTGTAAAATTCTGAATTGCTTCAACTTTTTCAGTCTTAGGACAGAAAATTAAACTTTCTTGCCCAGTATGGTACTCTGATTGATGCTGTGAACTCCTGCCTTCCCAATATGGTTCCCGATCAATCTAAGCACTCAAGCAATATTGCTTTTCCTGTTTCCTTAGATAGGCCTTGGAAGTGGCTTCTCTAAGAACATTAATGCACTGGCATTTTCCTGTTCATAACACACCAAGGATTGTTCCTTCATATTTTGATTCTAGAGGCCTATCAGTTTTTATAATTATTTGTGTATTATTTGTCATATAATCTTTAAAGGCAACCTCGAAATGGTTCTGTCATTCCTGAGCAATTATTCTGTTCTTGTGGTGAGTTATAGTTTCTATTTAGTCAGCCTTCGATTTTCACAGGGATAGATGACCCACAGTAATACTTTCTTCTTACAACTTTTTCTTGGCCATATCACATCAATTCTAGTATCACAGGAGCATTCTGGCAAGAGAAGACAGGTCATTAAGTCAACAAATATTTATGGAACCTGCTAAGAGAGGACAAGAAATGCACGCCAGCCCCAGCTTGTTCCTTGCCAGTGATTTCTGATGAAAGGCTTGTGGAGAGAAGAGACTAGACAGGTGTCAGCAATGTCACAGCTATTGAGAGCAGGCATACAGCATACATGGAAGATTGGGTGGTTTCTTATTTGAATTAATCATGGTGGATCTAAGGACTGAATGCCTGGCTTAATTATCTGCCCCGAGAAAATTAATTTGATAATTAAAATTATCTTCTTTATAAGATACAACATGAAGAGCAAATAGTACAGCATGGTTAGCTTAAACACTTGATATTCCATATGATTCTTCAGCGTTACTCAATTCCCATGAGCCATGACCAATTAAGAAAAGAACCTTGATGGGTGTTAAGATCCAGAGTATTAACTGAATAGCACCACTAAGTAGTTTTGATGGAGTTAGAATCGGCTGCAATAAGAAATTACTAAACTGCTTGTCTAATCTGTGGAATTTAGAACCAAACGATAGGAATTTTTTTCTTCCTGGTGCAATGTTGATTCTCATGTTGGACTTGTTGGATTGGGTGATGACGTAGTGACCAGAGCTAGTTGGGAGCAGGAGAAACAAAGGCTTCCCCCAGGTTTCTTCCTTTAGAAAAGTAAGTATTTTTAGACAAAGTTTTGCTTAGAGAGGAAAGAAAAGTAGGTTTACTGGGCAAAACAGCCTTGGAAAGATTGCACAGTGCTCTGTTTTCTCTGCCTCAGCTTTGTGCGGGTGTATAGACATACATGAGAATGGGAGGTTCAGCACCAAGGCATCAAGGCTCTGAGAAGTCTCCTTCCCTCACTGGAGCAGCTGGACTGTGTTTTCAAGACACACTCTGATTACTGGGTTCCTAGTAAGGGGGAAATGGTTTCATGTAGCACATTTTTCATAGGGCAGAATGAATATTAATAATGCTTACAGAACATTTAGCCTGTACTAAATATCGTTCTAAGTTCCATACCTCTGCTAACTTACTTAATTCTCATGATAAGTGTATGAAATACATTATCTCCTTTCATGATGGACTCTCTACACAGTACTTGGCAGATCTGGTTTCAGGCCTGTTCTTTAACTGCGCTTTTGTAATCAGATTCCTAAGTGGCTTAACTGAATGCTTTGTATGCTTTCTGCTTATATATATTTTTTTCTTTGTGGAGCCAGGTATATTTTGATGATTTGTGTTTTTCTTAAATTCTGCTGGATAGAGGGTAGACTGGAGGTGACCCAAGGAGAGAAATTGCTGTCATCTATCCCGATGTGGACCACATTTGGGGAACTGGCGATTCTGTACAATTGTACACGGACTGCCTCTGTGAAAGGTAAGAGGAGACAAGCTGCTCTCAGAACCACTATTAGAACCACCCAAAGTCATCTCCTAAACAAAGCGTGTGGCATTTGCCTCTCATTTTGCCCCATGTGCTCTTGCTGATAAAAACACAGTTGCAATAAAAAGATTTATGTGGGAACTTAGATATAAACAATTCAAGTCCTAGGCTGGGGATAGCACTGGCCTTGCCATCCTGAGGACCAGAGATCATCTCCAGAACCCATGTAAAGTGCCAGGGGTGTGGAAAGCACCCGTAATCTTAGTACTGGAGGGGTAGACACAGGGAGATCCCTGGGCTTTGTGCCATCCAGTCTAGCCTAAGTTGTGAGCATGAGGACAGTAAGCGACCTGACTCAAAGGAGGTTGGTGACATTCTTGGGGATGGCACCTAAGGTTGTCTTCTGACCTTGCAAACATGCAAACATGCTCACTTACACATGTACATGCAGCCATATGGGTATACATGCCCCTGCATAAAAGCTTCTGCAAACACACATGTATACATGCACTGAAAAAGAAAAGGTCTCAGATACCTGTATATGAGATGTGGTATGAAGCTGAATGCATCCACATTTGTTTAATTGCTACTTTACTTTTTCATTACGTAGACAGTCGACTTTGACTCATTCAGGATGTTCGCTTTCTAGTTTTTGACATTCTTATAAACCAGAGTCGTCAGCAAAACAAGCGACATAAATATCAGCATGAATGTGTTTTGGAGAAATGTCTTCTTGAGTAATACTTAAATTGATTCCCATTTTTGTTCTTTCCTATAGTAGGCTTGGATTTTCCCCAGACCTACTTAGACATGTTCTTTCTCAGCCTTAGGAATGGGGTTATGTAGTGTTTCATTCAATGAGACATTGAATGAAAATGCAAATTGTGAGGCTCACCTCCAAACGTGATGAAAAGGCTGGGCTGGGGGTGCATTGTTAGATGAGGATGTTGAGTGAGTGACCCTACTTGACCCTGAAGCTTGGTGAGCTTTAGGTTATGGTTATTCTTTTTATTTTGTTTTTAAAATATTTCTAATCCTCTTATTTTTGAATTTTTAGAGTAATTTATTTTGCCTTGTGTGTATGGATGCTTTTGCCTGCATGCCTGTATGTGTATGATGTGTAAGCCCCTGGACTGGGGCAATGGACAGTTGTGAGCTGCCCTGTGGGTACTGGGAACGGAACCTGGGTCCCCTGCAAGCACGACAGCATTCTGAACCACTGAGCATTTCTCTAGCCTAGTCTTTTAAAAATCTTACAACCATAAAGTATCTAGACATTGTTTTCTCTCGAAATTGATATCAGCTCCCTTTCTTTTCAGATAGTATGCTTGCTTTTAATGTCTTTCATATAAAATATCCCCCACCCCAGTTTTTTTTGTTTGTTTGTTTTAGCTTTAAAATCATTTGTATGTCATTTCATATAAAAGAAACCGCAGAGATCCTTAGACTGTATTGGGTCTTAGGCAGCGGCGTCTAAACATCACAGAAACTTCTGCTTGTCTGCGTATGAGCTCTTTAGTGTTAGATCAGTCGCGGGCTGGCTGGCATGACTCAGAAACACCCTGTGTGGTCTGTGGTATGTGGTGGGTAAGGTGCTCAATTGGAAACTGCAAACAAATTAATTTAAATATCACCTACCCAAAATATAATCAGAAAAGAAACTTTCTGCCATCCACTTCCAAATCCTGGTAGATTCCAAAGCTGAAGTAGTATGAAATTACCCACTATTCCATTATTCCATTGCTTCCTTTCATTTTCATGTTTAAAGATCACATTTCACAATATATATATATATATTTCATATATATATATATATATACTCATATATATTTCCATTTCCAATATACATATACATGTATATATTTATATATATATATATATATATATATATATATATATATATATATTTATATGTGCTCCTTGTTTAACACTTTGGAATGTTTTTCTTTTCATCTGGTGCTAAACACTGTTGTATTATTGTCTTGAATTTTCAAAAGCTATTACCAACGTTAAGACTTGGGCCCTTGACAGAGAGGTTTTCCAGAACATTATGAGGAGAACGGCGCAAGCCAGGGATGAGCAGTACAGAAACTTCCTCAGAAGGTAAGAGCAACCGTGCCGGGGAAGGCGCCACCAGTGTGTGCACAGGCTGATCCTTGCCAGAAGAACGGGTTCGCTAACAGTTTCCCCCACTTAAGCGGTTCCTATATGATTAAAGCAAGGAGAAAACTAACATCCTTGCAGCAAATGGTAGCAGAGACTAAAACTTAAATTTACTTCCTACTAGCTTGTGAGCAGAATGATTTTCTTGCTGTTCTTTACTTTCGTATTGAAGGAACCATATTATTAAAGAAAATTATGCAAAAATACCTGAAAATTCACCGAGTTTTCTCACTGGGCTTTGAAAACTTTTATGACCTGAGAGGGTGCATCAAAGGCTAATTCTTCTAGTATTAATTATTATTATTATTATTATTATTATTATTATTATTATTATTACCTTTTATGTATTTGTAAGCATGCTTCAAGGTCCTTTACACCCGGAGACATCCCACCAGCCCCACTTGAGATATTAGTTCATTTTACTATCCTTGCTTTACAGGTGACATTACTTTCCTCATTTGCATAGCCACAATTGCCTTCTAAGTAACCATGATTTGTAGAAGCTTGACAAAAATGTTACTAACTTGCCATGATGCCATGGTACTCGAACAGTTCATTTTGTAAAATGCCGTGCACCTTGGCATCATGCGGAGTTGATTTACAGGGAAACAACTGTCTATAGAATTTCAAAAGCCAGCTTGAGGAGATAACTGTTTTTAAGAGCGCACACACTTCATGGTCACCTGTTTTGGACCACCTGTGAGAGTTTTGATAGCCTCTGAATTTGAGATGTGTTTTGAGATGAATTGTACTTCAGCTAGGTGGTAATTGTAATTATGCATCACATGACTTCCAAAAGTAAATTTCAAGTTTTTTTCCTATGTAAAGCCCAGCAATTTGATCGCCCAGAGCCAGCCTGGAAAGCCCGTGTGTTTGGGCTGTCTATGGCTAACATTTAGTCAGGGATCATAGGCACTGCAGGAGCACAGGACCAATCAGCAGAACAGAGCCTCTCCCTGATGTGCCCTCCCGGAGACAGTTAACGACTCCTGGCAAAGGGCTGCAGTAATGACAAGCAGGTGTCTCATCTCGAGGTATCACGTACCATAGCCGTTATGTGATAGGATCTACCTAAATATAGGTGATCTCGAAATTCTGCAGCTGAATGTCACAGGTCAGCATTTAGAGTAAATAAGCCACCCTTGTTCAGGAGATAAGAAAAGGGATACAGGCGTAAACCAGGCCACAGGCTGTAGTTGATTGTCTGAGATAGACCCTACATCATCATAATAAACACAGAGCAGCTATCCCCTTGGAGCCTCGTGTGCCCTGTTTGAGCTGAAGGAGCCCAGAGAATCAGCTAGCACATAGTCCTTTTCTCCGATCTTATTTTTGTTATTTCATTTATTCATTCAACAAATATTTATTTCTAGACACCAAATATTGTGGATTCGGTGGTGAACAGGATAAACCGGACCTCTGTCCTCACAGAGGGGAGGCAAACTAAGATTGCTCCTCATCAGTTTAGCCACTAGTCCCAAAGGTGAAGGCTTATTTATTTATAGATCACTGGATCAGGAAAAAAATTAAAAAAAAAAAAAACAAAACACTTTCATAAGTTTGTTGCTTTTTCCATTTTCATAGGGAGGTACTACTCTAAGGAAATGGAGTTTTCTTTGTCTCATCATATATAATAAGTTCTTTTTATATTTAAGTTTTTAAGTATGTCATGCAATATACAAGGCCTGTAGTATATTTGTAAATCACAAAACTTCATGGTTCTAACAATCCGATTACCAGGAAATACATCCAAAGGAAATGAGATTAGTATGTTGGAGGAGACATCTGTGTCTCCGTGGTCTTTGTGGTACCATCCAGAATAGCCAGGAAATGGATACAATTTAATTGACCATCAGTCCATGAAAGAATGAATAAGAAAAATATGGTACATGTGTAATGGAAGGATGTTCCACCATGAAAACGATTAAAGCCTATTGTGTGGGATGATACAACGCAGAGTGGAGACTGTCCTGTGTAGTGAAATACGTGAGGCATAGACAGACAATTACTGCGTCATCTCGTTCGTATGTAGGCTCTAAGAAAGGCCCTTGCATCATAGAAGCAGGCAGCAGAGAGGTGCTTTCCAGATGCTTAAAATAGTGAGAGGAAAAGCGATGGGAAAATGTGGATCACTGGGTGCTGAGTTAGAGGTAGACGGCAGTGAGAAGCTGTGACATTGCACTGTAAGGTGGCAGTACATAAAAACAATGTAGTGTGTATTTTAAAAAGCTGGAAGGAAGAATTCTGAACGTTTTTGCCATAAGAAAATGATAAATTTTTGGAAAATATGTGTCAACCCACATTTAAACATTGAGAATATATATATATATATATATATATATATATATATATACACACACACATACATACGTAGAAACATTGCCGAGTACCCTATAATTGTGTCCAATTTTATATATTTCGATTAAGATAAATTTAACAAATAATATGTATCCATGAAGTTGGTGGTTTTCCCCAAGTGCCTGTGTGCTCTGATGTCATTACAGACCTCTGCTCCTCCTCTCCTCAGGTGTAGGCCGCATTTGGAAGTGTCTTTTCAGTGTTCTGAGTGCTTATTTTAGACAAACTGAAGGGCGTTTCATTGTAATAGTGTGCAAATGTAAGAATTTAGAATCTGTAAGGAATACATCTATATTTCAAGACATAATTAAGTACAATCTGTGTTTTGTGTGCATCTATAACCCCGGTGCTTACAAGGCTAAAGCAGGAGGATCATGAGTTCAGGGGTAGCCTGGACTACAAGGTCAGGATTTATATCAGAAAATTCTAATTAAAAAGGGTTAATTAATTCAAGATCTCTTTTTAATTTTGAAGTGTTTCCTTGCTGAAGAATTTACCTGAAGATAAACTAACCAAGATCATTGACTGCTTGGAAGTGGTAAGAAATTTTAAAGTAAAAAAAAAAATAAGTATCATTAAAAGATTTTAGACTCTACTCATATTTTTAGTACTCTAAATGAGTAAAGAGGAAAGATGATAGAGGCCAGGAGCCATGTACGATTATGAGAAATCTTAGGCCAGCACCCATTGAGTTAAGGGGCCAGAAAGGGCTAGGTAGCCTTGGAATGTGCAGAAAGAAATTGGATTCGCATGTGTAAAGTGAAATTTGATTTACATATTTTAATCTTTTTAGTACATTTTATACAACTAATCTGTGTTACTCAAGAGGCATTTGATTTTCCTCAATTAACATCACAATCCCTTGCAGAGTTTTCATAATATAAAGGAGTCAGTGAGGCATAATTAGGAAGCAGGTACAGAGAGGGCATGCTGGTGCTGTGGGGGAGGGGCCTGGGAGCCAGACCGTGCAGAATTCTATGCTCAGCGCTCTGGGCCATGGAAACACATTTGAAGAGGCCGTACTTGGGTACTTTACCTATTTCAATATCTAGAGGCAAATGGCAGATTGGAAAGGGTTCAAAAGCTTATTCCTGGCATTCACCAGATGGCTGATTCTAGTTTAAGACTCGTCAAGCCTTATTGTGAAAAATGATTTTATAACGCACCTTGGTTCTTAATGATGCGCAGTTTATGAAAACCTCTTCAGATTTCAGAGATTACAATTCAAAGCAGATAGCCCCTCTCAGTTTCTTGGGGGTCCCTTTCACTGAAACCAAAATGACTTTTCTGAAATTAAGAGGCAGTAGATGGCAATATCAGTTTCTATGGAGCTGCTTTCAGGGTGAACAAAGTACAAAAATAAAAAAGAAAACAAAAACCAAAAACCCTACCCAGCTGATTGTTGACAGATTTCTGCCCCTGTCAATCATAACATACAATGTAAACACCTATGTGTTGGGATAGAAGCAGGAACCATTTTATTCTACACCTAAGTGACACCAGTAATGTTTCTGTGTGTAGCCATGGAACCCATGAAATAGCTTATCAAGAACAGGCTATACGGATGCCATGCCTCACCTCCTGTCCTGTGGGGCTTCAGATATAAAGTCAGATTCAACAAGCCTGTATACACTGTATTCCTTTGGGATTTCCCCAATGTAATGCAAACCAATCACAGATGTTACAAATTAATAATTCATCTTCATTTCTTAGGGTATTTTTCCTTTCAGGCCAGAGAAACCCTATATATACATATTTTTGTTGTTGTTGTTGTTGTTAACCAAAGAAATCTGTTTTTAATATACTACTAACAGAGTGGATTCATCAGAGGGGAATTCCATGCTGACAGCGAATATGAAAACTCGGGGTCCTTAAAAACAGTCAGTTAGACATACTTACAGCAGCCATAAGCAACAGCCACAGAATACAGGGATGGGTCTTGAATCCAGTATTAATTAACACACGACCCAAGATCGTAAGCTTCATGTTTTAAGACACCCTTGGAAAGCCTGATTACATCTTCAGACAGCGGTGCCATCTATAAAGGGCTCTTTGTTCATACCTGACACACAAGGGTGTCTCTGGAATGTGTGAAAATTATCCAATGTGGAAGTGACTAGCAGGGGAGTAATGGGATCTTAGTTCTAAGAAAAGCACGTAATTAACCAGTGCAGCTTGACTCCTGACCCATCAGCAGATCCTTACCACAGCCAGCCCCCAGCTCAGGGAGTTGGGACAGAGTACCTACTGAGTTCTCAGAGCACACACCCCGAGACTCAGCTTCACAGGCTTTGAGAAAACAGAAGGTGTTTTTGAAGTGCTGCTTAGAGGTTGGTAGGGCGGGCTGTGTGTGTGTGTGTGTGTGTGTGTGTGTGTGTGTGCGCGCTTGCTTGCCTGTGAGCAGAAAGATGGGGAGGAGGAGATCAGAGTTCCCTGTACCAGTCAGCAATCTGTCAGGTTCCAAAGAAACTCAGGACTAACTGTACTGTCTGTTAGCACATTAAAGCATGCTGGATATCAGGCTTGCTCAATATCTGTGGCTCCTCCTCTCTCTCACCTCACCCTGGCCCCTTACCCTAAACCTTTCCAGTCAGGGGCCAAACTTCCCTTCTCCCAGCTTCTCATTCCTTATTTAGGCAACTGGCTCTTGTTCTCTTTGTTCTCAATCTCTCTCTCTCTCTTTCTGTCTCTCTGTCTCTCTCTCTCTCTCTCTCTCTCTCTCTCACACACACACACACACACACACACACACACACACACACACACACACACACACATCTGGTCATTGGTTCTCGGCTCCTGGTGCCCTTCCTTGTCCTCCCTTTTTCTCTTCCGCTTTCACTACCCCCCGCCTCTCATGCCTGGTTCAGTCATGTTCAGCCTACTGCTTCTCCTTGCTCTGGACTCTTCCAGATGCCCCTGGCGCTACTCTCTCACACCTATAATAAAACCCTTCTCTTCAACCATACCATGGAGCAGTCGTATCCTCATTTTCATTCAGACCCTATGTGTTTGAGACATAGACTGCTGAACTCCGACACCAATGGCTCCGATAGTTCCATTTTGCACTAGCTTTCTTGAACTCGGGTCTTCCAGAGCATTCAGTTGGGAGGGAGGCAGCCATCTTTTAGAAGCCTCTGCTCACATTCTGAACAGATTATGAGCGGAAATAATGGCACACTGTAACGGAAGTTTTGCTTTCTTTAAAAATCTCAGTTATGTTATGTAAATAGGTTTTTGTTTTAAGCCCAAGTGTAGGATTTTAGTTTGGGCTTTAGTTTGTCCGCAGCTGATAACTGTCTTGTGTGGGGCGTGGCCTTTGACAAGTGGTAATGGCCTGCCTTGTGTGGCGTGGAGAGGGGCATGGTCTAGGGCTCCAAGGACATAAATATGAGAGCCCAGGAACAGAGATTATGGCATGGCGTGGTGCCATGTGGCAGTGGCAGTTTGGAGAGACCAGAGGTGGCCAGTGGAGACAGACGGAGAGAAACATTTCAACACAGTGGCTTGGAGGAGACGTGCTGTGTTTGCTGTTGACGGAGAATTGATATAACCCCAAAAGGAACCTATTGACCCTAAACAACTGGGAGAAGTAAAAGGGTCTGCATCCCCTCTCCCATGAGCCTCCTCTTTCCTCTCTAGGGTTGGGGGTTGGAAGAGAGAGGTTTCAAAGAACCCCAAGTAAAATCAGTTTAAAAAAATGAGTGCTACAGTATGCCGTCACTGCTGTGCTTTAGAATCTAGCTAAGGACAGCCTTTAAAGCAGGATGCAAGCTTGGAGTGGTGACAGTGGGCAATAATGAAAATTCTAATGTGGCTTGTGACCCTGGGTCATCACAGAGAAGACAGGGGAGGCAGGAGTGTCTGCTGCCAGGTAGACAACTGTGCAAAGAACAGAATTGGCATGGGTCAGAGGGCTGGATTCTGACCCAGTGGCTCTTTAATCCTGCCATCGTGATGCCTACCTTTGTACCTTTCATAGAGCTCCAGTTACTGCAGGGGAGGGAAGTGTGAGTGTCTGTCCTTCAGACCTGGGGTGCCAGCAGAAAGGCAGATTCCCAGGTGCTGTCCCATGCTTACTGAATCAGAAACTGGTAGAGAACGCCGATTTCACAGTTTTAACATTTCACCAGTGGGATTCTTACGCTCATTGTAACTTGAGAAGCACTGAGGGGTGAAAAAGGATGGATAAACCTGTTTGTAGAGTCAGCCACGTCTGCCTCTTCAGTCCGGAGACTGCCATTTTCAGTCATGTTCTCAAAATCTAGTCTCTGTGTTTGAGTTATCTGTGGTCTGGGTGAGTGTACCAGTATGTGTGCGTGTGTGTGCATGTGTGTAAGGGGGTCAGTGGACAATCACGGGTGTCATTCTTCAGGCACCATCAGGTCTGACATTGGCCTGAAAGCACCAATTAGACTAAGCTGCCTGGCCAGTGAACCCCAGGAATCCCGTTACCTTTGTCTCTCTTGTGCTGGGATTACCAGCAAGTGATCCCATATCCAGCTTTCAAAAATATGACTCTAGGCTTCAAACTCAGGTACTCAAGCTTGTAAAACAATCACTTTACTGATTATCTCCCCAGGTCTATAACATGCTTTTAGAATGATCTGTACATGTGATGAAGATTTTGTAGCACACATTCTAGATTGTGAGGAAGCCTGGGCTTATCTTTGATTTTTTTTTCCTCCATCACTCTGTTCTTTCTTCTCAGTTCTTATGTTTTCTGTATAGAAAGTCAGTGTATTATCCTTTGACACGTCAGCAGAAAAGGAGCGTCTTCCTTACAATGAAAAAAAATAATATCTTTAGGGGCTGCTATCTATTTATATTGTTTTCTAGTCTGCTTTGAAACTGATTTCCTTATTATTATTTATTTTTTCACATTTGCTATATCTCATTTTAGACTTCTAAACTTCTTGCTTTAAAAACTGCTTTTCCATCCATGGGTAGTAGGAGATCATTTCTAGTTCATGGAGCCAATTTAGTGGAACGTTTTTGCAAAATCCAAGTGGCAAGTGTAGGCATGGTTTCAAAGACTGTTTGGATTTTATGTAAATATCTCTGTGTGCGTACCTTTACGGGTATATCCAGCAAACATGTAAGGTGAAGTTCTTATTGTGGGTCAGAGGGAAGATGCACAGGGACAGAGCCCATGGCTTCTAGGTCTTCCAAGGGGCCCTCCGTGATGTAACCACAGGACAGTCACCACATTGTTTGCCCTGCTCCTTTTGGTTGCGGTGGCTGCCCTGGCCTGCCTGGCTGCATTCCCTGGTTGACAAATCCTGGCCAGTCTAGCATCACCACCATATATTTTTGGTCTGACCTATTTCCACAGCCTTTTCTGATTCATGAGTTACTGTCGACACACTGGGCGGTATTATTTGCCTTCCTTCCATGGTTTGGGGTGACAAAGAATCATCCCTGGGATGGCTCCACTGGGGAAGCTGCCTTTTAAGAAATAATAAGGCTCTTTCTCAATGTCCCTTTTCAAGCTCGCCTCCTTTGAACTTAGCTGGTTGGCAGGAATGAAAACCATACCTCTCTACATATAAGAGGTTTTGTAATAGCTGAAGAACAGCCTGGTAGCCCTTTAGAAACTTGTCATTTCTGCTCCTTTTGGGTGATGGGAACTGAAGTTGGAATGAGGACAAGAGGCATAGAAAACAGATCCTCAGCCATGGTCCATCTGGTAGGACAGTGCCGCTTTACTGAAGAGACTGGTGTATTAGTTTGTTACAGAAGGAAGATACATTGGGTTGTATGGTTGTAGCCATCCTTAAGGGTCTTAGTCATTGCTACTGTGAAATGGTGCTTCTCCATAGTAAAGACTTCTGAAAAATATGAAATGAGAAAAAAAAAAAAAAAACAAATGAAGGGTTGGGCTAAATGAGGTGAATACAAAAACCTCATAGTTCATGTGCAACAGAATCCATCTCTATGTTCACAGACCAGTCCAAGGAGCATGTTAGGTTCACCCTGGCATTCAGGAATGTCAACTGGTGGCTAATTTGCCATTTTCATTTAGCAAATGGTTTTCAAGGTCCCTCTAGGCCATGCCATTAAGATGCACATGTGAAATGGTTCATGGGCCTGGCTCAGAAGTGAAATGCTTTGCCTCTGCCTGATGTTTTAGGCTGTAAGTTAACTATATGGTTAACACTACCAGCAGAAGTATCACTTTTTGGGGAGCCATAGAAGACTCTGAGAGTCTCATCACAGGGGTTAGCTGTCACTACATGCTTGGTGTGTATCAAAAGTTCCACCATGTAGTTCATGAACAGTTCTACTTCATCCTCAGACATTGCTAAGTGCAGTAGATACACAGTCTGACTTTGGCAGAAGAGGAGATTGAGGTCCAGAGATGTGACAGTAAAGCACATACCACTGTCCCTTTCCTTAATACATCAATTATTAAATAAACATTTACTATGTTGAAGATGTTCCCAACGTTTCAGAAAACCTTGTCTTCTGTGGATAGAGAGACCTGAACTCAGGAATGGCCACACCCCCAATCTCTGGTTGGCTAGGTGGGCTGAATGTAATTACAAAAGCCCTTGAGAGGAGAGAATCATTCTATGTGGAATCAAAGGTAGAAGCCAGGGAGACTCCGTGATAAGAATCCTACATGCCATGGGATTCTAAGATGGCTTACTGCAGCAGGCAGAGGACCCCAAGAACTCAGCAGGCCCTGCTGACTCACCACTGACAGCCACGAAGAGAATGCATCTCCACCCATAAATGAGTTCAACTAGCCGCCACGATGAACTTGAGGCAGATTTCCCCTTCATCGGGGTTTTAGAATGGAATAGAGTTCCCACTAACATCTCAAATGCAATCTTTAAAAGCCCCAAGCAGGAAACCCAGCTTTTCTCCTCTACCCCCGGGCTTTCTGGTCCATAGAAGCTGTAAGCTGACCAAAGGGGGAATTTCTTTAAGCTTGTTTGTTTTAGCAGCAACAGGATACTTCCCTAGCTTTGAAGGTTAATGTTCTCAGTTGATGTATTCATTTAAAATAATTCCATGTAGAACTGGGCTTCAAATCTGGTTCTTTTGCCCTTATGCTTCTAAGAGATGTTGAAATGTCTAATTAAGTATACACAATGCTATGAGAATGAGAAGGTGTATTGACTGACAGGAGGAGTAATAAGTAATATTCACTCTGTAAAGATTTATTCCATTATACCTTGACCATTTTTGCTTAAGTGACCAGGAAGGTTTTGAAAGGTGAACATATTAAAGTAGTTTAGTGTAGAACTTATTTTCCAGTCTAAAAGAAACAATGAGTGAAATTATTTGTCAATAATGCCCCTTAGAAAAATAAATGAGCCCATCTTGTCTGTATAAATAATTAAGAAATCCATTCCAGTTGTTTGACTTGAGACAACATCAAATGAAGACAGCATGGAGGCAGATGCTGTGACCTGTCTGTGTGTTCTAAGGGGCTAGGGTGCTCTTTTCTCTGACAAGTGGCTACATCTCAAATCACACAACTACCTGTGAAAGATAGAAAAATTAACACACAAATAAGAAGTGATCATTTGCAATTTCATGAGGATAAATCAATGCTGAAGACAGAATTTGCACATGTAGGTTCTCATGGCTGGGACCTGTTCTGATAAGGATCCTTTATTAACAAAGCACATGGCAGAGCTACCTGTTGCAAATATGGACCCTCCTAGGTGCTGTTATTCCACAGAGGCTTAGAAATGGAGCATGCCGTTCCTCATACCCACTGTGGGTAAAATCAAGCTGCCGTGTAATCATGCGTTCCTCTCTGAACCTTTGCCACACTCTTCAGACAGTTACTAAATACTGCAGTTCACCCAGAGGTGAGATCACAGTTTCCCTGACTGTTGTCTTGCTCTTTCTTCTCATCATATCTCTGCCCTCCATAACTGAAACTGAACATTGCAAGTGAAGGGTCTCAGTGAAAAGATAAGAACAGGCACAAATCTTCTTGCTGATCATTAAAGCAAGTCTCCCTAATTTTTACCACAGTATTAATGAGAGCTAAGGTAAGCTCCCAGGGAGTCTACACATGTTTAAGGACACAAAGGGCTCTATTTCCTGTATGTCCTCAGTCATATGCCTCCACTTTTGATATGATATTTTGTTTCTTTTTCATCCTGCTAGGAATACTATGACAAAGGTGATTACATCATCAGAGAAGGGGAAGAAGGGAGCACCTTCTTCATTTTGGCAAAAGGCAAGGTAAGTGCTAGGTAAAACTGTGATCGGTGTACCCTCTGTGTAGCTGTGGAAGAAGCCGGACTGGAAGGATGATGATCTCTGGTAGAATCTCTGGGGTTCTCTGCGAGGGCCAGGCTTGGGGGTGAATGCACAGGATACATGTGATTGACCACAGATGACATAGTAGCTTGTCAGTAACTACACACAGGTTCCTTTATTTTCTGAGGCAGGCTCAGTGTGTGTGACACCTATAATGGCTGGTTTGTTTCTGGAGGCCCTTTTTAGGAATGACTATGTGATTGTCACTCAGCCCACTGGTCCAAGAACAGGGCTGGAATAGTGTTTTTAATAACAGATATGATGGGTAGTTTAGGAGAATGAACTCAGCAAGTCTCATTCTTTGAGAGAATTCTCACTGATAATGGAATTGCATTTGTTGTCATCATTTTAAAATATTAATTCGTGGTGACATACATAAACAGAAATCAGAAACTCTAGCCAGTGGGAGGCAACACTGATTAACATATTAAACTGCAGTAATTCTAGCTCAAATAGAGAATTTCTGTGATGTAACAGCCTAGCCTCTGTTTCACTTTGAAATGGATATTGAGTTGTGAACCTCTTCCCTGTTGTCATTTTGCATTGTTTTGGAGGTCCGTAAGATGTAGCCTACCTATGGACAAACTTCATACTCATACTCAAACTTATTCTTAAGTAAGCCATCAACTCTGTTAGACTTTTTGAAGCAACGAAAGTCCTTACAAGACTAAGATTATTTGCTTTGAGGATCTCTCTGAAAGAATCACTGATTTCACATTTTAAAAGCTGTCCTTTGACGCCAGGCATGGTGGCTACCACCTTTAATCCCACCACTCCAGTGGAAGAGACAGGCAGATCACTGAGTTTGAAGCCAGCCTGGTCTACATAGTAAGCTTTAGGATAGCCCGTGATATACCAGGAAATCCTGTCTTGAAAAACCAAAACTATGAAAAACTAAAAACTGACCTTTGGGAGGCGATTTGAATGGGTGGTTTAGGATGTGATTCTCCTGCTACAGAGGGTTGTCTCATACCTGCCTTAACCAGAGCAGAGCATAGTGGAGTGACCTGACGACCGAGCCGCTATTTCAGCTTCCTCCGCTCCCTCCTTCAGATGGTTCTCTCGAGCTGATGAATGTGCTTTCAGATCCGTCTTTTACTTTGGTATCTCTTTTGGATTGTTTCTCGTTGTTTAGGTGAAAGTCACACAGAGCACAGAAGGCCACGATCAGCCACAGTTAATAAAGACCCTGCAGACGGGCGAGTACTTTGGAGAAAAAGCTCTGATCAGGTGAGCCTATTGGTTTATACATCATGCCCAGACTAAGGGTTGGACTGCCTCCATGTCAAACGTACTCACCAAGCAAACGCAGGAAATAATCGCAAAACCTTATGTCAGTAAGGTCACGATTGGTGTTGGATTAACTCTTAGCTTAAAAATACTAGCAAAAGAATGTAAAAATGAGGAAATTGTTAGCCTGACAACATGTTAGAGCGAGTTATTATGGTTCATAATATTATCCTACTCAAAATTTTTTTCTTTAGCTGAATTGAGAAAAGGGGGCTGACAAGATGGGTCAGTAGGCAGAGGAACTGAAATCTAATGACCTGAATTTGATTCCCAGGACCCACATGATGGAGGAGGAGACCTGACTCTCCCTCCCCAGATTGTCATTTGATATTCACATGTGCACCATGGCATGCAAACATACACACAAAGACACACACACATTAAATAAATAACTGTAATAAAATGTCTTTAAAACAACTTTTCATACTCTGTTTCATACTGTAAAACATCTTATTTTCAGAAATTTGTTATGAACTCAATTTGCAAGTTTTAGCATTAGGTCACTATAATGCATTTGAAATTCTTATATGACCCTTCTGTCTTTTGAAGTCCAAATTTATTTACTGTGGACCTCAGTTATGGAAATATGTTCTTAAAAGATGATAAATGGCTCAAGGGAAACTTCGTGCTTCCTCAAACAAACAAACCCCCATCGTATCTAAAGAAATACATTTTCCTAAGTAGCTTCATAAAGTAGCATGATAGCGTTCAGAGAAAGACACATTTTTGGAGTTACATATGTTTTTAAGTGAATAATTTGGAGTTGTTCAGGAAATTGCTTAAATTTTATATTCTTACCAAATGGTTTTATTTTAAGTTTATGTTTGAAGAAAAGTTATTGGAGAAATAGTTACCTGTGCCCTGTTTTCGTTTTCTTGCCTGTCCCTTATGAAGCTCCTGTCCTTATGATTTGCAGAGCAGGCTGCATAATTACAGCACAAAGGGAAAGTGCTACAAAATCACCCAGAGACACATTTGATTATTTAAAATTCATACATCTCTTACTTTTCAAAGAAAGCCCAAGTACTAAAGCATAATAAATTGACCTTTAGATATTATGTAAGCAATTTCAAAGTAGAATTTAAAGACAGGCTGAGATTTTCTTTCTTATTTTTTAGCTGGTAATGAACTCACTTTGATAATAATAAAATTATGTGGGTTTTTTTTTTTGCACTATCCTAATTATCTTCCCACGTTTGAGCAAAATAAACAAACCTTGAAGACTCACAGGGCTCTATACATGCAGTATAGATATTAAGTATCTCCTGAGAGCTAGTGTGCTATCTGGTTTTGCTGGACCTGAAGTAATTTGTGTTATCTGTTGCAGCTAGCCAATTATAGTTTTTTTTTTCCTATAGGAAACATGAGAATTTATGTTTAACATAGACAACCAATACCCCAAATCATCCAAAAAGCCCAAAGCTAAAATGAATGGGAAGGAAATGTCGATACTAATATATTTCATTGTTTGCACATTTTTATGAGTTTTTTTTTTTTTGGGGGGGGGCTGACTGCAGACAGTGGCTCAGTCTTGCTTCTGTTTTACATGTTTTCAAAATGACATTAAATGGTCTCTGGAGTTCTTTCAGATTTTTATTCATAGAAATAAATCTATGGCACTTAACATACAGTTACTTTGAAAGCACGCACGGGAAACTACGGTAGTTGTAGTGTGTGCAGAGAATGATCTCTGTGGTGACCAGGAAATCGAAATGTACAGTGAATGCCTTAAGTATTCCCTTGCTCTGAACTCATAACCCAAGGTCCTGTCTGTGTCTAGGTCCTGTCTGTGGTTAGGCCTATATGTATTTGATTCTTTTTTTTTCCATTTTATTTATTATTTATTTTTATTATTAGTTACATTTTATTAACTTTGTATCCCAGCTGTATCCTGTTCCCTCATTCCCTCCCAAACCCATCCTCCCTTATCTCCTCCCTGCCCCTTTCCAAGTCCACTGATAGGGGAGGACCTCCTCCCCTTTCATCTGACCCTGTTTTATCAGGTATCTTCAGGACAGGCTGCAAAGTCCTCCTCTGTGGCCTAGCAGTGCTGTTCTTCTCTTAGGGGTGGGGAGGTCGAAGAGCCCACCATTGAGTTCATGCCAGAAATAGTCCCTGTTCTCCTTATTAGGGTACCCACTTGGATACTGAGCTACCATGGGCTACTTCTGAGTAGAGGTTTTAGGTTATATCCATACATGGTCCTTGGTTGGAGAGACAGTCTCAGAAAAGACCCCTATGCCCAGATATATTTGATCCTTGTGGAGCTCCTATCCTCTCCAGGTCATATTAACTCCCCCTTCTTTCATATGATTCCCTGCGCTCTCCTGAAGGTTTGGTTATGAGTCTCAGTATCTGCTTTGATACATTGTTAGGTAGAGTCTTTCAGAGGCCCCCTATGGTAGGCTCCTGTCCTGTTACTTGTTTTCTCCTACATCCAATGCCCATCCCGTTTGTCTTTCTAAGTGAGGATTTATCATCTTACCCCGGGTCCTCTTTCTTGTTTATCTTCTTTAGGTGTATAGATTTCATTATATTTATCATATCTTGTATGTTTGAACAAGTGAGTATATACCATGTGTGTCTTTCTCCTTCTGGGACACCTCACTCAGGATGATCTTTTCTGTATTTGAATTCTTATTCCCCCATTTCTACCTCTGTTTCTGCCTATACCTTCACCTCTGTCTCTGATTCTGCTTTTATTTGCATGTGTAAATTGATCCACAGCTGTCCTACCTCTGAATAAAATTCCCTGAGACTAAGCTATTTTCACTGATGTCTGCTAGCAGATAACTTATCAATTGAGGACAAACTCTAAACTACCCAGACAGTCTTTGAATACCATCTAGCAATAAAGTGGCCTCTTGGCCATACAGGAGATAGGTTGCCTGAGTTTCCTCTGTCCTCCCACTAAGAAAATATGAAGGGATCTATATGATTGCTATTTTTGATGAAATTGTCCAAAGCTGTCCCTGTGATGGCCACATTTTGTTGGTATTCCTGGGTTACTCTATGTGAATCTCTGAGCACTGGACTCTATGGATGTTCCTTTATTTAGAGTCTAATTCATAACTAATAGAAGAAGAAAAGTAATATGCAAGTCAAGGCCACTAAGGAAACACTTTCTCTGATGCTTGATCTATCATTAGTGACTTGGACAATTACATTGCCTTCAGCTCATATATAATGACTCATTCTATCTAAGATCTGTGGTAAGAGTCTCTACTCCATTATGTATAAAAAAGTTAGCAGTGCTAATTATGGTATGAGTCATCATCAACAGATACTAATTTCAGAGATTTTGCTGAGAAAAAACCATCCATTTTACTTCCTATGACAAGAATGTATTTCAGTATTCAGTTAATGTGTTGATATGGCTCTGTAAACATAAGCCTGGATTCCATTTTAACTGGTTTGTTGTATGATACTCACTTGGCCATTTCCCAGGACATTTCTCTATCAGTTTCTGTGCTGCCTCCTTGTTTGTTAGTAATTCTCCTTTGATGGAGAATTCTCTCCTGGCTGTGACAAAACACACGATAAGATTTCACATCGCAGTTGGTAATTCTTCTGTGCTCCCAGTACAATCACCTCCCTGAATTCTTTGTGTAAATAACCTTTATAGGACACACTTCACATCCATTTCTTAAAAGGGTTGGATATAAAAATACCATGTTATTAAACACACACACACACACACACGCACACACGCACACATCATAGTCTTCGGGCTGTTTAGTTGGTGGTTGTGAATTGATATAACCTTGTAGGTTCCTAACAAAGACAGACTTTTAATTTCTAATTGTGGTGAAAACTGACTTACCTTTCTCATCTACAGTGATGACGTCAGATCAGCCAATATCATTGCTGAAGAAAATGATGTTGCATGCCTCGTGATAGATCGAGAGTGAGTATCCTGATGTTGGAGACGGCGGGCACCTGTTACTTTCAAAGACTTGGCTTCTGTTCCTCTGAGGCCCTCTCTGTTTTCACATTTGTCACTGCTTGGAAATGCTGGCCAATGCTCAGCCACAGCACTCACATTCTATTAACATTCATGAGGAGGAACCGGGCCTTCTGATCAGAATCTGTCTCTGCAGCGGCAGATGCTGGCAGGCTAAATATTTTGTGCTCAAAGTCAATACATAATTATCAGCAATGCACTGATTTAAATTCTGTGGGGTTTTTTTTTTTTTGGCAAATCAGTTTGTTAGTGCTTTTATGGATTTAGTTATGTGTCTATGGGTATGCCACGTGAGCTTAAGTACCCAAGGAGATAAGAAGAGCTTCAGATCTCTGGAGCTGGAGCTCCAGAATGTTTGGATCCACCTGACATGGGCTCTGGGAATCAAATATGGGTCCTTTACAAGGGTAGCAAGTGCTGCTAACTGCTGAGCCATGTCCCACCCCAGACTCTTCCTGTGAGGCAAAAGTAGCTATTAACTATTACCATTCCCGAGAGGTGGGGCCACCGATAATGATTTTTAATAGTATGCACCAATATTGATGTCATTCTTAGGTTACTCTTTTAAAATAAGCCTCGTTTTGTATCCCTTGCTACTTCAAAGCTTATTTTTTAACCTGGCTTCTTGGACTGTTCATTAATCATCTAAATTTTCACTGGTTATGTATTCAATCCAAAGAATACAACTCATGTAAAGCCAAAACCGAGCCAATGTCTATGTAAAGCCATAGTGTCGTCAAAGAAATAAAACATATACCTATAAATTTTAACAAAATCAGTAAAATAACAAGGTGTAACTGGAATATCGCCGGTGGCTAATGTCTGAAGTACTTACCAAACATAAAATCATAGAGATGAGGCACTGGAAAGACTATTAAAGAATATTAGGATAGTGGAAAGATACTTTTTATCATGGAAAATTTCACATATTGAAAAATAGAACAACATTGTCCACCTAAAGAACAGATTAGAGCCTACAGCAACGGAACCATTCAGGATACTCTTTAGACTTTAATCATAGTTGAGTTTCTTTAACGCCTCTCTTAACAAACTCCTCATGGACACAGAAACATGTCATTTGTACATTGCGACTGCAGAGCCAGCATCTGCCATAGTACTTGGCGTACGAGAAGTGCTCACCAGATGGCAGCTTCACAAAAGGGCACCAGGCTGACATGAAAATAGAGTGACAGAAAATCCATAGATTCTTATTTCTTTTTCCCTATTTCACAATTTTCAACAAACTTTTTGATGATAGCGCCAGAAGAATGCAGTTTGAGTTGCCATTCCTATTTTGAAATTGTGAGAAAAATGTGTGAGATAACTGTAAAGTAATAGCTCTATTTAAAGATAATTAAAAAAAAAAAAAAAAAGGCGCAAGCCTCCTGGTGACCATGGATTGCAGAAACAAATCTCAAATGGTTGACCAGCTATTCCTTGGGATCTATCGTCTGATGAGTGCAGCCTGTTTGAAGTTAGAGCTAGAGTGTTGTAGCCGCTTAAACCTGGGGAACCGCAAGGCAGAGGTGCATAGAAAATGCTTCTTTACTGAGAGTTCCTGTGTGTCATTAACAGAAGGGATCAGCTGCAGACTTTCCAATAACTAGTCACAATTATAGAAACTTTAATATTCCATTACTTATGGAAAAGCATCTAGCTTGTGTGTGTGTGTGTGTGTGTGTGTGTGTGTGTGTGTGCGCACACACACATTTAAGAAGACTATTGGGCTTGGAGATGGCTCAGACAATAAAGTACTTGCTATGCGACCACAAGGCCTTGCATCCTGTCTCCAGAATTTACATAAAAATTTAGACATGGGGATACATGCCTGTTACTCACCACGAGGGGGGTGGAGAGAGCCCTATCTCTGGGGCTTGCTGACCAGCCAGCCTCGCCTAATTGGCAGATCCCAAGCCGGCGTGAGACTCCATCCTAAGAGAAGGTGGATAGTTCCTGAGTAATGATACCCAAAGCTAGGGTGCTACATGTGTGTGTATTTCCCCACATGAACATAAATGCGAGAAACACACAGAGAAATGGGAATGAAGAACGTTAAATTGCCTTGATACCATCACAACAGGCCATTTGTCTTATTTTATTTGTAGAACATTCAACCAAACTGTCGGGACATTTGAAGAACTCCAAAAATACCTGGAGGGATACGTGGCCAACCTGAACCGTGACGATGAGAAAAGACATGCCAAGTAAGTGGGACGGGGTTTTCTTTGCCCGTGGCAGCAGATCAGGGGCACAGTTCTCTGCAGGCTGCCCTCACTAGAAGATTCTAGAGACACTGGTTCAGCTCTGCAACTCTACAGTGGAGAGTTTTTAAGCCTTTAAGTAAAATCTTTGTGTGTTGAGTAGGAAATTGTGAGAGCAATTTCCTGATAGAGGGAATGCTTTAAAATGGTGACTTAGCTCTATAAGGACATGGTTATAGGTGAAGGGCAGGGTTATAGTTTGATTTTTTTTAAACTTCCCAAGGATGTATTTGTGAGTAGGAGGAGGTTCAATAGACTCCACCAAATCTAGTAAAGTGATTGGTTTATTAATTAATTAGTTAATTAATTAATTAGTTAATTAATTAATTAGTTTATTTATTTATTTATTTTTGTTGTTGTTCTATTTACAGCCTGATCCCAGCCCAGTCCCAGATCCTCCAAGTCCCACCTTCATGTCCCCTTCTTCCATTTCCCCTCTCCTCTTCTCAGAAAAGGGGAGGCCCCCAAGGGTTATCAACCCACCCTGGCACCTCAAGTCCCAGCATGACTAAGTGCCTTCTCTCCCACGGGGGCCTCCAAGGCAGCCCAAGAAGGGGGAAAGAGATCCAGTGGCAGACAAGAGTCGAGACAGCTCCTCAGCTCCTGCTCCCATTGTTAGGGGACCCACATGTTGACCACACTGTACATCTGCTACATATGTGGGGGAGTCTAGGTCCAGCCCATGTATGCTCTTTGGTTGGGTGGCTTGCTGTAGTCTTCCCTCCACTGGAAGTTCCATCTGGCTACAGGAGGTGTCATCTTCTTTAACCCCTTTTACTAACATTCTCAGCTAGGAATTCTTTTTCACCCCCATATACTCCCAGGAAACTTCCCTCTTCCAGAGATGCCCGCCTGTTTCCATTCTCTCTCCCCCAGTCTTCTCCCCGCCACTCCCCCATTCTCTTCCCACCCGATTCCCACCTTGTTACCCTCTCCATGCCCTTCTGCCCAGGTCCCTCCCTCCATCTACTTCAGATGTCTATTTTATTTCCTGTTCTGACTGAGATTCAAAAATCTTCCCTTGGGCCCTCGTTGGATTCTTTGGGTCCGTAGATTGTAGCATGGTTAACCTGTACTTTATGGCTAATACACACTTACAAGTGAGTACATACCATGTGTGTCTTTCTAGATCTGGGTTATCTCGCTCATGACGGTATTTTCTAATTCCATCCACTTATCCACAAATTGTGTGATATCTTTGTTTTCAATAGCTGAGAAAATGTACCACATTTAAAAAAATCTGTTCTTCAGTTGAAGGACCTCTAGATTGTTTCCAGCTTCTGGCTATTAAGAATAAAGCTGCTATAAACATAGTTGAGCAAGTGCCTTTTGGTATTGTGGGGCATCTTTAAGCTGATGCCCAAGAGTAGAATAGCTGGGTCTTGAGGTAGATCTATTCCCAGTTTTCTAATAAACTTCCAAATTAATTTCCAGAGTGGTTATATAAATGTGTACTCCCGCCAACCTTGCCAGCATGTGTACTCTACAACCTTGCCAGCATGTGCTGTCACTTGAGGTTTTTTTTTTTTTTTTTTTTTTTTATCTTAACCATGCTGAAAAGTATAAGATGGAATCTCAGGGTCATTTTGATTTACATTTCCCTGATGACTAAGGATGGTGAACATTTCTTTTTTTTTTAATTTATTTTTAAATTTATTTACATTGTATCCTAGCTGTAGCCCCCTTCCTCATCCCCTCCCAATCCTGCCCTCCTTCCCTCTTCTCCTCCCATGTCCCTCCCCTAGTCCACTGATAGGAAGGTCCTCCTCCCCTTCCCTCTGACCCAATCTATTAGGTCTCATCAGGACTGGCTGCATTGTTTTCCTCTGTGGCTTGGTAAGGCTGCTCCCCCCTCAGGGGGAAGTGATCAAAGAGCCAGCCACTGAATTCATGTCAGAGACAGCTCCTGTTCCCATTACTAGGAAACTCACTTGAAGATTGAGCTGCCATGGGCTATATCTGTGCAGGAGTTCTAGGTTATCTCCATGAATGGTCCTTGGTTGGAGTATCAGTCTCAGAAAAGACCCCTGGACCCAGATATTTTGCTTCTGTTGCTCTCCTTGTGGAGCTCCTGTCCCCTCCAGGTCTTTCTATCTCCCCTTTTTTCATATGATTCCCTAAGCTCTGTGCTTCTTGGCCATTAGAAATTCCTCTATTGAGTATTCTCTGTTTAGCTTTGTACCACATTTTTTAATTGGGTTATTTAGTTTGTTGGTTTTTAATTGCTTAAAATTTTTAAAATTGTATTTTAAAAATGTATTTTGGATATTAGCTATCTGTCAGGTGTAGGGTTGATGAAGATCTTCTCCCATTCTGAAAGCTGCCATTTTGTTCTATTGACAGTGCCCTTTTCCTTACAGAAGCTTTTCAGTTTCACAAGGTCCCATTTATTAATTGTTGATCTTGGTGCCCAAGCTGTTTGTTTTCTGTTCAGAAAGTTGTCTCCTATACCAAAAGTTCAAGGTTCTTCCCCACTTTATCTTCTGTTGGGTTTAGTGTATGTGGTTTTATGTTGAGGTCCTTGATCTACTTGAACTTCAGTTTCATGCACAGTGATAAATGTTTTTAAAATACATTTTATTTTTATTAATTACAGTTTATTTACTTTGCATCCCTCCTATAGCTCCTTCCCTCTTCCCCTCCCAATTCCACCCTCCCTCCCTTTTCTCCACCCATGCCCCTCACCCAGTCAACTGATAGGGGAGGTCCTCCTCCCTTCCATCTGATTCTAGTCTATGAGGTCTCATCAGGACTGGCTGCATTGTCATCTTCTGTGGCCTGGTAAGGCTTCATCCCCCTCAGGGGGAGGTGATCAAAGAGCAGGCCAATCAGTTCATGTCAGAGGCAGACCCTGTTCCCATTACTAGGGAACCCACTTGGACACTGAGTTGCCATGAGCTACACCTGTGCAGGGGTTCTAGGTTATCTCCATGAATGGTCCTTGGTTGGAATATTTGTGTCCAGATTTCTTGGTTCTGTTGCTCTCCTTGTGGTGCTCCTGTCACCTCCAGGTCTTTCTATCTCTCCCTTCTTTCATAAGATTCCCTGCAGTCTGTCCAAAGTTTGGCTATGAGTCTAAGCATCTGCTTTGATACTCTGCAGGGTAAGGTCTTTCAGAGGCCCTAAAGAAACCCAGAATTGCCAAAACAATCCTCTACAATAAAAGATCTTCTGGAGGTATCTCCATCCCTGATCTCAAGCTGTACTATAGAGCAACAGTAGTAAAAACTGCATGATACTGGCATAGAAACTGATTGGTGGATCAATGGAATTGAATAGAAGACCCTGAAATAAACCCACACACCTGATTTTTGATAAAGATGCCAAAACCATACAATGGAAAAAAAGATAGCATCTTCAACAAATGGTGCTGTTTGTCTACTGGATGTCTACATGTAGAAAAATGCAAATTAATCCATACTAATCACCCTGCACAAAACTAAAGTCCAAGTGGATCAAAGACCTCAACATAAAACCAGACGTACTTAACCTGTTAGAAGAAAAAGTGGGGAAGAGCCTTGAACTCTTTGGCACAGGAGACAACTTCCTGAACAGGACACCAACAGTACAGGCTGCTCTAAGATCAACAATCAATAAGTATATTTTTAATAGGAACTTCACTAAATGATAATTACATTATAAAACATTTAAATTTCTATGGTAATATTTTTATGCTGAGAATTGAACCCAGGGACCCCATACATACAAGGTGGATGCCTCCCACTCTGCTAACCCCAGACCTTATTTAAGGCATTGCAAGGGAAAGCTGAAGCTGATATTCATGAGACAGGCTTCTAGAGAGGTGCTCCCAAAATTTCTTGAGAGCCTAAATTGTGAGTTAAAGTGTATTTTTTCTTCAGGGTATACATCTGCAATCTTTGTGCATACAGCCTTTTATAGTAACAGTTTACGCATAGAACTCAGAACAGTAAGCTTCAATTTGAAGACAAAACGGATATTTATGAACATGCTTAAAGGTAAAGCGAGAAGCATAGTTTCATGTCTTGTAGTGCTATTATTCTGCATTAGGTGTGGAAAGCTTTGTTGACAAACAGCAGAAATCCTAGGTGGGGCCTTCTTGGAGTGACAAAGGATGTGATGGGTTTTATTCTCTTTCGCTGATTCCGTTTTTGGGTTACTGACTGACAGCTTTTTTTTTTTTTTAAATGTATTTCAAATGCTACAAAATTCCTCACCCCATTTTACTCTCATTGTATTTATTTGGCTTGAGTGTGATGTGTCCTAGATTCTATTGGTTTTCTCCCCAGCTGTGACCAAACACATCCTTGGCAAAGGTTGAGACAGTCTTGGTGGCACCAACAGGCAGTGTGAGGATAGAGGTTGTGATTGGCGGGGTATGCACAGCTCAGGGTTTGTATGTGTGTGCATGTCTGTGTATGTTTGTGTCAATCTGTCTATCTCTGTTTGTGTGGGTGACATCTCCCTTCTCTCTTCAGGCGCTCCATGTCTAACTGGAAGTTGTCCAAAGCCCTTTCTCTGGAGATGATTCAGCTGAAAGAGAAGGTGGCCAGATTCTCCTCAACCTCCCCATTCCAGAACCTTGAGATTATCGCGACACTGGGCGTTGGTGGGTTCGGAAGAGTGGAGCTTGTAAGGGGTTTACGTTTCAAGCCTCTGAGAGAAGCATTTGACCTTTTTGTTTTGTTTTGTTTCTCAGCTTATGTTGGAGGAATATATGAGTTGTTATTGCTAGCTTAAAGTATTTTGAAGCAGAGGAAGCAAGTTTCTGTCTATTTGTGCTTGCAAATAGTAATTAGATGCTCTCTGATATCACATCCTGTGATAAATTTTTGATAGTAATTATTGAGAAATGAATCAAGTAAGCATTCTGAAAGATTATGAAATGTAAAACATTTATTTCCTAGCAACAAATTACACATACATCAATGTGTACAATCAAAACACAGCATATCTCTACTCTAAAGGAAAGGAGAATGTGGCTGGCAGAAACACGAGATGTGGAGTCCTTAATATTATAGTTATATTTCTTAAGCAGCCCTACCTCTATGTCTGTGTTTGGATCTCATTACCCTATTTTTGGGTTGTATAAAATTTCCCATCAGAGAAAAAGAAAAGACAATGAATGCAGCCTTCCGCAGCACTCAACAGGCAGCTGGGAGCTGAAGCCTGATTTCAGTTATCTTCCACGTCTGTGCTTAATAATCAGCTCCCAGGGAGCAGATCCTGCGTCAGATTGAGTGTTCTGAGGAAACTGTGCTCTTCTTGGGTGCAGATGGCTCTGAGCCCCTGGCAATCACCAAGCCTGTCTTTGCCCAGACGATTTTTAACAAGTCACTGTGCAGTGACCTCCAGGAGCTGCGCTGATGCCTTTGTCTGCAGGATGGCTGGACGCGTGATGCTGCTACAGACCGTAGCAGAGCAGTTCGTGCCCACTCCATCATCTCTGATGGGTGAAGGGAAAACAACTTGCTAACAGGGCTAAGAATATTTGCAACGGGGTCTTCTGCTCTATGCTCTTCTGCACTGGCATTTTCCGCCAAAGAGCACAGCTAAAGGGTTGAATTAATAATGCTGAGATCTGCTCTCCAGATAATCATTATCATAGCAGATTTTCTCTGCTTATTTGAGATCTGTAAACATTACCAATGGTCAATATGATCCCTATATGAGATGTGGATTTCCATTTACCATCCAGTATTATTGTCTGCTTGTGGATTTTTATAGCTTTCAGAAAGAAATACTTGTTTTCAATGTTCAATGTTTTCAATGTTTTAAGGAAGAGTTCTAATTTTTGCGTACAGAAAAAGTCCTCTCTTACTTTCTAGTACCAGTTTCTAACCTGATGGATCTGTGCTTCTATAGCCTGAGGTGCCTTTTGAGATTTGGGAATGTGCCTGATACAATCAATGAAATATGTTTCTATTTTTAATTAATTTAAATTTAAATAACCTCATGTGATTGTTAGGCTGCCCACTGAATAGAGAAGACACAGAATTTGATGAGTTTCTTTGAAAATTAGAGGTGAATATCAAGAAATAAGCTTTGGAAATCAAAGCTTCTTCTTTCTTATCAAAGCTGTTTGTGTTACACAATCAAAACTGAAGAGTTCTATCAGTAAAATTTAATCAGAATGTATTTTCCTATTTCAGTACATAAATTTTAAAACCAAATTATATGAAGTATTTTGGAAATGATTGGAAGTGCATCAAGTTAGTTATATAGAAATCTGTTCTAGAGGGGTGAGTGGTTATAAGTTTATATACTCTCTATATGTAAAACCACTTAACTCTCATTAATAAACATGTTATATTGCCTATTGCAAATGACTGTGGTACGTTAATTATGAGAGTCCTTCTATTTCTCACATAGGTTAAAGTTAAAAACGAGAATGTTGCCTTTGCGATGAAGTGTATAAGGAAGAAGCACATTGTTGACACGAAGCAACAGGAACATGTCTACTCTGAAAAGAGGATCCTGGAGGAGCTGTGCTCCCCGTTCATCGTGAAGTAAGTGAGCAGCTGGCATGCCAGGAAGTGTTGCTCTCAATTCCAGTGGGGTCTTGGGTAGGAGTCTCCAACCCCTTCTATTCTAGGGAAACCTTGCTAAGGCACACGCACGTGCATGCGCCCGCCCGCACACATGTGTGTCTGTGTGTGTGCGCGTGCACGCACATGGGGGCGTCATTATAAAATAGTTGCAGCTGATCACTTTATCCAAAGCTCATGCTGAACTTGGAAATAAGGAACCACGAACCCACAAGCTCCAGCTCAGTGTCGGTGGATGTTAACTGTCTGAGGGGTGGGACATGCGGGTCCACACAGCTCCAAAGGGGAACATACCTAGTCCTAGAAGCTCAGAGTTTCACAGTGACCCTCTCCTGACAGTCATTCCCCGTACTTGTTAGCAGATTGGAGGAGATACGCCAACACCCTCCTCACTTGTGTATTTATGGGCTACTGATAGAAGCCAGTTCACATTTTCATTTACTCTTTAGTGATTACTAAGTTCTGGTGATGTGTAGCCTATTAGAAAGACCAAATGCCTTGTGAGGGTCTTCCAAAAAAATAGTAAGACGTATCCTAGGCAATGGTGACAATAGTCATTCAATTATATTGATGTTTTTCCAGAATTCTCTTTTAGAATTAATATCGTATTAGTGAACTGTGATGGGCAGCTTTAGGTTTGTATTCGTTTTTACAATACCAGCTCTCTGCAAAATGCTTGATGGACCGTTTGGTAGTAATGATATTTGGAACAATATGTGGGAAGACATTTACTATGCTGTGAGATTTATGCTTAAGGGAGATTTGAGAGCGGTGGTGAGGTCATCACATTTACATCACTGGGCTGTCATGGGGAAGTGAACCAGGAATATACATACGTGTTTTTCAGTAAATGCTTGTCAGCTGTAGCACTTAAATAACATAAAATCAATGCATAATCTCATACGTTTATATGTATAGTAAGAAGCTGTGGTTGTATAACTGATGAGAAAATAGGTATGCCATGTGGCATCCAGCCTGGGGTACAGCTCCGGAGCCCACACTCCTGAGACATTTTTATTCTCTTACTGGCCTGGTACTATGTATCCCAGGATAACCCTGAACTCACAGAAATCTTCCTGTCCTGAGTGCTAGGATTATGAATGTGTGCCGCTAAACCCGGCTTCTAAAGAGACCCCTTAGTACAGTTGCTGTGTTTGGGCATCATCTGGTAGCTCTCCTGGCTGCTTCTCTCTTACGGTGCAACTAAGAAAAGGGACTTCAACCTTCCCTCTCCCTTCTCTCCATCCTCCCATTCCTTCCCCATTCTCCTCTCATTCTTTCTTACCTATTTTTACTTTCTGTGCACTAGTGTCTTCCTGCCTTCATATATGGACACCACATGCATGGCTAGTGTCCATGAAGGCTAGGAAGAGGGTGATGGGTTTTAGATGAAGCTGGCATTTTAGACGACCAGGAGAAGGCCTGTGGGCATGGAGAACTGAACCTAGGTCTTTTGTGAGAGCAGCAGGTGCTGTAATTGCTGAGCCATCAGTTGCTCATAATTGCTGAGACAGGTTCTCCTTGAACTCTGAGCAACAGAACATGTTTTCACCCTTGCTGGTGTTGAACGTGGAAAACTGCCCAGACACACTGCTTAAGGTCCATATTCTCTTACCAAGCTTTGAGTACAGAAGCCTGTTAAGTGTAGCTGGACTTTTTGGCTACTTTATTAGGTTCTTTTATCTACCACTCTTCTCCACCTTTATTCTACCATTCCATCTCCCCAGCATTAGGTAAGAGAGAAAGAAGGGTACAGTGGAAAGGAGGCATTGACATTGTTAGACTACTTCCTGCTGATTAAGGGTGTCAAGTTCCTTGAAGCAGGGTTGGTCTTAACAGACAGGATCTCCAATTTCTAACAAACTTTGACCAACAGTAGCCAACAAACAGTAACAGCAGCAACAGCAGCAGGAGCAGCAGCAGCAGCCCCTTGGGCTCTGGCATTTATGTAGCCTCTGAAGAGTCCCCAGAATTCCAAATGTAAACTATCTTCAGCTGGCAAAAATTACAGACCTGCCAGAGCACTAGACAAATCATAGTTAGCCGCTGTGGACAGTCTGAAGTAGCCCCATATTACCACACCTGGGATTAAAACAAAAACATATTCCCATAACAATTCTGGTTGTTTTTTTCCTTTTCTTTTCTTTTTAAGAAACCAAAAATTCTCACTATAGTTGAGTACAGTATCTCTTTCCTTCTCAGGCATCATTTTTATCATCAGAACCACTTTATGTACCATCTAATTTCCAGGGGGTTCCCAAGGGCAGCAGAGCTCCTTAGAGGTGAGCCTTTGCTTAAACTAGATCACACAGAAAGCCACTCACCCAGGATTCTCCTCTAGCCTTACTACTTAGAAGAATGCAAAGCTATTCTCCACTAGCCTTACCACTTAAAAGTTTTTGTCTCCTAGTCTGTTTTTAATACTAGCCTACCAGTTAGGAGGCAGACAACTTGAGTATAATGGACTGTGGTGCAAGGTACATATTAAGGTGATACATGCACAGGCCTGTGGCTTTGGGGAGGAAGGAGAGGCCCTATTTGATAGGTGTGATAATGAGCCACTTTATGACAAACGTGGCCTTGGTGCTCAGCCTTTCAAGAATGGTAGAACTTTGACAGTGAAATGGAGATAAGGAAGTTCAGTCTGCGGACAGAGGCAGGGCGGTGTAAGTACAGGATGAGCTCAGAGATCCAGTGCAATAGGGATGGCCAAAGAGGGTTTGGTGAGAAGCCCTATGTAGCTGTGGGATATCTACATGGAAGTGGGAGTAATGGTTGCTGATGATAACCTAACCAGCCTCAAAGAGGTTAGGGACTATGCGTCTAATCATGTTTCCATCTCTCTCCACAGATTGTATCGTACTTTCAAGGACAATAAATATGTATACATGCTCCTGGAGGCCTGCTTAGGTGGGGAGCTGTGGAGTATATTAAGGGACAGGTAATGAAAAAAAATACGTTTTATCAACTCACATCTGGGCTGGGCTATGAGGAAGGTACTAGGACATGATTATAGGAGAACATTGTCAGTTATATAACAGGGTAGTAATCGGTGTATTTTGTTGACTATCGTTAACTACAGAAGTATCATGTGGACCTTCTAAAGTAATCTGTCATCCTAGGATATGGACTAAAGGTCACATGGACGGTAGGAGGCTGACCCTGTGTCACATGGATGGTAGGAGGCTGACTCAGATTCGAAATACTCAAAAGGGGATGTGACAGGGGCTGGTTAGGTCCTCACCAAACAAATCAGAGTTGGAAGTCAACAAAGATTTGATACAGTCATAATCACAGATAAGTACGAGGCAGCTTCTATGTAGAAAGCGCAATGGTTTGAGTTTGGATGTTTCCTAGACAGTATATAATTATCTACATAAATATAGGCTATAAAAGCATAAACTTTAGAAAAATAAGATTAGCGTTTACCCGAAGAAAGAGGGTGATACTAAAATATCCCACTAATATGAAAGTTAAATAATTACAGAGCAGTTGCATATTTGTGTGAAAATGGTAAATCAGAAGACTCTCTAAAGATGACAAAGACTGGAAAAGGCAGAGAGGCAAGGAAAGACAAGTAGAACACTTCTGGACTTTTGAACAGCAGAAAGTGAGAAGACAAGGGCATCAAAGAGCCATTGGAAGGTCACTGCGTTACAACAAGGGAGTTATTGACAGGCAGATCCTGGGACATTCTTCTTTGACAGCACGTTTATCAACCGTGGCTGCACAACACAACTGCATGTAAAGCTCTTACAAACCAAAAATGTCGTGTCCCAATACCACCAGTTATGACTCATTTTACCAGGGTGGGGTCCAGTAAGACATTTGTTTAAATGCTTGTCTCATGGCTGAGACCCACTGAGGTAGGCATGTAAGAAAACGGATGTTGTGTTAAGTGCGTGCTGAATTACCATGGGAAGAACAAGGAAAATGAAGGAGACATTCGGGGTGGCTGCGGAAGTGGCACCACACTGCATTTTGCTTCAGTGAATAAATTGCTTATAAATCTGTGTCCATGGGAAAGAGTGTTACTGCTTTCTGTTAGGCACTGTGCTTACCCCAAGAACAACTCTAGTGAGGGGTAGCAAACCCGTCTTTGAGGCATGCCTCTCCAGGCTTTGGACATTTGGATAACTTACCTGACGATATGGAGAGTGAAGAAAGATGAGCTTTCAGGAATCAAACTGAATTTTCTCTCTGAAGTCACACCATTTGATTATGACATGTGGCAAATCATCACCACATTAGAATAACAAAACCAACATGTATAGAACTAGGTAGCATCCTTATATGGAGCAACTCTGATAAACGGTCAAAGAGTGCCCAGCTGGGAGGTGCTATGAGCCACTTTCTCTTAGGATTACTGGCTTGTGCTGTGTAGACAAAAATGGAAGTGACTACCACTTGAACTCTTTTTTAGTCAAATGATGCAATTTAGAAGTCTTGGTCAAGCTTTTCATTGAAATAGTAGCCTGTTTCCAGAGTATTCCACAGGTGTCTAAAAGTCTTCCTTTCCCTGTTTTGTATGTCTATCTGTGGTTACCAGAAAGAAACGCATACATGTGGGTGTTTGGTGTGGTTTTTATAAAGTGTTCCTAGCATTTTTAAATGATCTGTTTATAGCCCTTGGCATATAAAATATATATTGATGTTATTGATATAATAAACTCATTGCCATAGGCTGGTGAGGCTGTTGGTAGAGACAGTAGGTGAACTGCTTCCCGCACATGAATCGGGATCCAGGTTTGAGTGCCCAAAACCATGTACAGCCGAGCATGGCGATATTCACCTGTAACCCATGTTCCTACTGTGAGATAGTGGATGGAAACAGAACTCTTAGGAGCTTGGTGGCTAGCTAGCAATCAACAAAGACAAGACCCTGTATCAGATAAGGGGCAAAACATTCACACCTAACTTTCACATGTGCCCCAATCTTTCTCTCTCTCTCTCACACACACACTCACACTGACAACATGTAAATTAGAACAACACCAAAGCCATATACAGAGTATTAAGAAGAACGACGTTGTCATTTCAGAGGCAGCTTTGATGAGGCCACCTCCAAATTCTGTGTGGCTTGTGTGACAGAAGCATTTGATTACCTGCATCGACTAGGCATCATTTACAGAGACCTGAAGCCAGAAAACTTAATTCTGGATGCTGATGGCTACCTTAAGCTGGTAAGGCAAGCTTTCTTACTCATGGTATCATGTGAGATATTTCTGCGCCAAAGTTGCACCCTAGTTGCAGTCTCTTTCTAGTTTTGGTGCAGCTGCTATTTTTACTCCATGGGATGTGGGCCTTGGCTACTTCATGCTTAATACTGTGAACAAGGCTTCACTTTAAGTGTTTATTTATTTTTATGTGTATGAATGATTTGCCTGCATGTGTGTATGTTCACTGCATTCATGCCTTGAGCCTGAAAAGCCATTAGAGGGTATCCAAAACCCTGGAACTGTAATTGCAGACTGGTGGGAACTACCATGTGGGTACTAGAAACTGAGTCAGGTCTTTTGCAGGAGCAGCCAGTGCTCTTAACCTCTGAGCCATCTCTCCAGGAACAATGTAAACATTCTGTTTGGCCCAGTATTTGACCCATTTCTACAAGTCTTCCTGAAGATTCACATCATAGCATGCCTTTAGCATTTGTTTGTATTATTTAATCATTTTAACTGTGTTTTGTTTGGGGTTCCATATAGGACCTGCCTTAGTGTGAGTTCTGTCTTAAGGTATTCACTTTCTAAGTAGGAAGAGAAGGAAACATGTGACCATTGGCAGCTATTTTGAAATCTTTCTAGTTGTTCTAACAGGCAGTAAGAGTTCAGAATCTATGATACCACAGGCACAGTGAGAACCAGCTTTCCTTGCTATCTATCTCTGTGGTCCATTAATTCTCAATACGAATCTATTGCATATCACAAAGATCATAAAGGAATACCACATAAACGTCTTTCTGTGAGAAGCTGATAGAACTTGATGGTCAAGCTGCAGAAAATCCAGGGCACTTTGGACCCCAGGAGGAAAACCTACAGGATGGGAAACCAAAGTGGCTTTCCAGCATTCATTTGAATAGCTCCTCCAAGATTTCAAGCCAGATTTGAGCTCCACACTTACAGGGATATTGTTACCTTAGGCTTTGGATGTAAGGAAATATTATTTACTGATCGGTTATCATATGCAGATGCTGTGTTTAACTTTAACAGTAAATCTATTCAATAGTTTATAAGATATGGTTAATTGTCAAATTTAGCTCGAGTGATTAAATTTGTTATGCTTAATTTCTAAGAGATCTTTTTATTTTTTTTTCCTATGAAGTAAAATAAGAGCCCTTTCATGTGAAACCTGGCTTACTTCCAGGAATCGTTTTGATCCATTCAAGCTTCATTTTGTCCATGAAAGACAGCTTTCAGAACGGGTGAGGTACAAACGCAAGGCTTCAATCGCTTCTCTTATTCACAATTCGTGCATTGACTATGCCTTCCACTGCTCTGTAGGGAAATTCTCTGGAATAATCTAGAAGAAAGAAAAACTATTATGAGGGCTGAAGACTGTTTATTAAATTTATCTCTTACTTTTCCTAGTTTTTTTTTTCAAACCCTTATATAGTGTATACAGTATTTACAAGACTAGACGGCAGTGCCTCCCTATTTGCCATCAGCCAACAAAGTAAACAGTAGTATTAGGAATTTTAAAAACACAATTACAGATTTTCAATTACTAATGACATTTTAAGCTAGATATTCTGAATTACTTTCACTACAGAATGTTTGAAAATACCAGATGAGACATGGCAAAGAATGTTAGTAATGCATGAATGAATATGCTCCTTAGACACCACAGGAGTTTCTGATTAATTATAGTTTATTCACTTTGTATCCCAGATGTAGCCCCCTCGCTCATTCCCTCCCCATCTCACCACCCTCCTTCTCTCATATCCTCCCATGCCCCTCTCCAAGTCCACTGATTGGGGAGGTCCTCCTCCCCTTCCATCTGACCCTAGTTTATCAGGTCTCATCGGGACTGCCTGCATTGTCTTCCTCTGTGGCCTGGCAAGGCTGCTCCTCCCCTCAGGAGGAGGTGGTCAAAGAGCCAGCCACTGAGTTCATGTTAGAGACAGTCCCTCTTCCCCTTACTAGGGAATAAGTTGCCATGGATTACATCTGTACAGAGGTTCTAAGTTATCTCCATGCATGGTCCTTGGTTGGAGTATCAGTCTCAGAAAGCCCTCTGGGCCCATGTTTCTTGGTTCTGTTGCTCTCCTTGCAGAGCTTCTGTCCCCTCCAGGTCTTTCTATCTCCCCCTTCTTTTATAAGATTCCCTGCACTCTGCCCAAAGTTTGGCTATGAGGCTCAGCATCTGTTTTAATACACTGCTGGGTAGAGTCTTTCAGAGGCCCTCTGTGGTAGGCTCCTGTCCGGTTTTCTGTTTTCTCCTTCTTCCAATGTCCATCCCATTTGTCTTTCTGAATGAAGATTGATCATTTTACCCAGGATCCTCCTTGTTTTGTTTCTTTAGGTGTACAGATTTTTGTAGGTTTATCTTATATTATATGTCTAGTATAAGTGAGTATATACCCTCTTATGGACAAATCCCTAGGCTCAGTCCTCAGTGCTGTCATCTAAGCTGCATGTGCCAGCAAGCTTAAATGACCCAGAAGTTTGATTTAGTAGCTGTGTCATTGAGGATTAGGAGCGCAAACTTTAGATCTGAGCATCATGGGACAGTGAGCAAGAGAACTCTGTTCAGAGACAGGAACCACACAGGTTAAACAAATATCAGAGTTATAAAGATAGGACATGCAGATAGACATAGACATGCTTTTCTCATCATTACCTCATTGGAGAGTAATAGTAATTAAAAAAAAAAGTCTCCTCTAAGAATTCTTGGCTACAAGCTACTCTTAATGGAAAAATCCAAGCAAAAATTTAAATGAAATGGATCTATGCTGGAACCATGCCCAAGTTCCTAAGCATCATTGCATACTCTTTAAAAGAATATACTGTCAGTTAGGACACAAAGAACTCCTAGAGGCGAAGTTCCCAGGAAAGACAGGCTCATGTTAAAAATGTATTAATACTGAAAGTATGAGAAAAAACACTAACTACAATTGACATTAGTTGCCAAAAGAACAAACAACAGAAATAGATGTGTAAGTGCCTTTGGACTTAAAAAAAAAAAATCTAGGGAGCTTGGAGAAAGACTTAACAAATAAAATGTCTGCTGAGAAAGTAATTAATTTAAATATACAACTGAAGTTTTTATTAATGCTGCAGGAGCTTGCCTTGGCCCAGCCTAATGTGCCTTGTTTGTGTGTAAAGTATGAAGGCACTAGAGAGTAATAAGCACAAATGAATATCTAAGCCCTGATAAAGGGCTTCCTGGTAGGTGAGACCCTCATTTAAAAATTGCTGCATAGATGTTTGCTGAGAATATGCCTCAATATATAAAGTATTAGGATTAAACCTTTAGTTGCCATCATACCCAAGTGTGATATTGGACATTCTTCCATTACATGGAGAAAAAATTAAATTACCGAATCTAACAATGTTAGCATTATAATAGGCTTCAGCAAATAAACCAAAACAGGGCAATGAAAGACCTCAAGTCAGGAAATCAAATGAGTCACTTCTTTTAATATATATATATAAAGTAGGGAGGGGAAGGATCACTTAGCTCTCTATTCAGTCATCAAGAGAATTCAATGTAAAAAAACCCCAAAATATGCCATTTCATAGCTAGTGAAATTAATATACTAAAAGAATAAAAAAGTGTGCAGATTCCCACACATTGCTGGTATGAGAAGAAAAGTGTAATCCATTCTGAAGAAAAACTGCTCAGTTTCTTATAGGACAAAAGCATCACCCTGCTCTGAGGTAAAAACCCACTTGATGTTTATTTCAGACGGTTGAAATCATGTTGCTGAAAGATTTTACATATGCTTGTTCTTAATAGTTCACAAGTAGAATTGGCCCAAATATCCATCTTCAACAGCACATACTTGGTGACTTATACTCCCGCACCGAATGCTTCTCAGTCATACCAGGGGTTACTCCAGCCAAGGACTGTGCTGCACAAAGGAAGCCACACATGGAGAAGTACCTTCTCCATGACCACACTGACCCAGGTTCTAGAACAGATGGCAAAATTGAAATAATGGTTGTCTCAGGGTTTGTGGGGGAAGGAAGTCCACAGAAGATTTCCTATATTCTGGGAATGCCTGTTTCATGTCGTGGTGGCTGTGGTGATAGGAGCTTAGTCTGCGTCAAATCCAGTGACTCATACACCAAAGAGCCGTGTGTTTTATTAACCGTAAATTTATTGTCTGTTAGATTAATGAATTAGGAATGCCAACTAGAATATCATCACAAAAAGAGAAATCAGAGACTTAAAGAAAATTTGACTAATTACAGAGACTGTAAGAGACTTACAAATTGAAAATAAAAATAAAAATGAGGAAATCTGGAGAACACAGTGAGAAAAATGTTTGGTTAGTATTGAAGACAAAAATAATAGAGGGAATAGGGTTTAAGAAGTGTGTGTGTGTGTGTGTGTGTGTGTGTGTGTGTGTTTTAACCTAACAAACGGGTAAAAGGGGTCTGTTGCCAACTTTGATGACTGTCCTGAGTTTCATCCCCAGAACTCACATGGCAGAGAGAGAGAACTGACTCCTGCATCCACATGCTTGCCACAATGCACACCGCTCTAACAGCACATATGCATACACACACACAGACTTTAATATACACACATAAAAACTGATTATGGGGTAAAGAAACACCAACATAGCTATACTAGGGCAAATTATGGTTGTTTGGGCTCCTTTTTATTCCTCCATGTCATTCTAAAGATAATTTAAAATAATAATGATCATTTATGATTTCGCACACTCCGCAAGTTGGGTCTGTGGAAGTGGACTGGTTGGGTTACAACTTGTGTCAGCCTCTTCCTGTTTTGCTGTGGCCAAGTCCCTGACAAAAGCCCCTTGGGTGAGAGTATGGGGCAGTGGGAGTGTATGGCAGCTGGTCACGTGACACCCACGGTTAGGAAGCAGACAGTAGGGACTGATCTTGATCAGCAACCTGGCTCCTTTAGATCTGTCAGGCAGTTTGCGTGGCTTTTCCCATCTTAGTGAACTGAGTCGAGGGAATGCCTCACAGACATGTCAGAGGACACCCAAATC